GAGAGAGAGAGAGAGAGAGAGAGAGAGAGAGAGAGAGAGAGAGAGAGAGAGAGAGAGAGAGAGAGAGAGAGAGAGAGAGAGTTGCCGTGCCCTCGTTTCTGCTGCGCTTCGCTCCTCCCACCTGCTCCCGTCCTTTCCGCTGCAATTTCACGTCGCCACACGTGGCTGCCCGTTTTCACGCCCTCGTCACACGTCGCTCAGCGCTTTCCCACCCTGCCCTCCTTTCCTCTACCTCGTCCTGAAGCATGCGATGATCCAGGTCCACGACAGACTCCTCCTCGGCCCGCACTGCAGCATTTCTCCCGGCCTGAGCGCACAGGTCCTGCCTGCGACCCGATACCGGTCGACGGTTCTCGAAAAAACGGAGCGCACAGGTCCCAAAAAAAACAAAAACAAAATGGCGACGTATCTTCCCAACCTCGCAGGACGGATTCAGATCCGGTTTAGCTGCTGCACACTTCTTGAAAGAACGGGGCTCACGGGTCCCCGAAAAAAAAAAAAAAGCGGCGGTGTATCTTCCCCGCCTGGCGGGAGACATTCCGATCCGCGTTCCCCGCCGACACTAAAAAAACAAAAAACTGGCGGTGTATCTTCCCTGCCTCGCGGGAGACATTCGCATCTTCTTTCATTCTCGGCCCTTGCCTTGGCTCTTTTTCGGCGCCACCACTTGCCGACACGGGCACACCGTCGGGTCCCCCTTCCCCGCTGCCCGACACCGGTCCCGCGTGGCTGCGCCCGGTTTCTCTTGGGCCCCACGCGAGGACCGCTTCTTCCTTTAGTAGTATAGAGAAGAGAAGAGATAGTCTATAATGACTCTATATGTATCTGGAACTAATAATTGTCCCAACACATTCATAGTCTATAATGACTCTATATGTATCTGGAACTAATAATTGTCCCAACACATTCAACGTGTCGAACTGCGCTGGTATTCGCTTGTGGTATGTTTCAGTTATTCTGTGAGTGTTTTTCATCTGATGAACCATGCTCTTTTTAACAGAGCAAGCACCTTTTCCATCAGTAGGTAGTAGTTACTCCTAACGCATCAATCAATCAACACGACCCAGCATACATCTTCCAACAGGAAGATCTATGATAGATCCAGTACATTATGTTTGAGAATTATCTCCTTCTTTAATGGCAGTATATAAGTTAATATAAGTTATATAACTACAAAAAAAACACAGTTCCTACACTCTAACACTTCATTTTCTAGATTCAGGAATGCACCTGCTCCAGAAAGACATCCAAATGCATGTATATTATATAATGTTGTTGGTGCAAACACCACAAAGTATTTGTTGTCCACCATCTGTCGTTCGTTTGTCCGTTTGTTTGTTTGTTTTTTTATTTATTTTTGTTTTTTTTTGTTGTTTTTTTTTGTTTTTGTTTTTGTTTTTGTTTTTGTTTTTGTTTGTTTGTTTGTTTGTTTGTTTGTTTGTTTTGCAGTAATAGTGCAGCCTGTTTGCGTGTTTTTTGCAGGTTCTTGTTTTTTTTTTTTTTTGAGTAGTGGCTTCCGATTTTTTTGAGTAGTGGCTTCCCATTTCCCATGCTGGAAACCGGGTCCAGCGTCCCTCACAGTACGCTCGGTTATTCGGTCACAGTCTCGAACAGTCTATTTCCGAGCAGGCAGCATTGGATTTCTGTGCGTTTTGTTTCCATTTCATCTCTCTGTGCGTTTCTGTTTAATTTCTGTTTCGTTTCCATTTCATGTCTGCTGCATCCGGCTTCTTTCGAGTTTCAGTTCTCAATTGATTGGATTTTGGTTCATTTTATTCATGGTTTTGTTTGAGAACGGTTTTGCAAATTTCAGTTTGATGAACTTTCATCAGTTTCGAAATTTAAAATTTTCAATTCAATTTATTTTAGTGGTTTTTTTTTTTTTTTTTTTTTGGTTTCAGATTTCGATTCAATTTTTCAATTTCAATTCATTAATTTTTCGAATTTGTTTTCATGTGTATTTCATGATTTTTTTATCCATTTGAATTCCATTGGACTCATGATTGGAGTTTCCATTCGAATTCCGTTTGAAACTTCATTTCCGTTTCACGTGAACTTTCACCCGAATGGCATTTTCTAATTTTTCTTACGTATATCACTTCTCTCTTATGTTACCATAGTGGCCCGGAACCACTTGCCCGGCCAGGCCAAAAGTGAATAGGAAATTAAAATGAAAAAAATGCATATTTTATTATTTTTCATTTTTATATGATTTTCTGGGTTAGGCCGACGCCCGGCCCAGACGGACCGGGCCAGACGGACGGGGGGGGATCCGTCCGACAAAACCAGACGAGCCAAAAAACATCCCAGGAATTTTTTTTATTTTTTTTTTGAAGATGGGGTTGGAGTGCGCTCGCTGAGAGGATCCCGAATCCGCAGAGAAACTTGTGAAAGCCAAGTGTAGGGGGGGCGGGGCCGGGGGGGGGGAGGGGAGGGGAGGTGGAGGGGGGATTTGACAAGGGGGTAAAAGGGTGTGTGGTAGCAGCCATTTCCTGTTTCTTCTGCCGTTTTGCCCCTCCTCCGTCCAGACCCCGCCACTCCCCCCTCCAATGTCGCTGGCACCGCCCACCATTGTGCCGTGGAAGTAGAGGATGCAAGGACCACCAGCGAGGGAAAAAGAAATTTCAAATATCAGAAGAAGAAGAAGAAGAAGAGAAGAAGAAGAAGAAGAATTACAAGGAGAAGAAGAAGAAGACTTAGAAGGAGAAGAAGAAGTAGTAGTAGTAGTAGACGAAGAAGAAGAAGACAAAGAAGAAGAAAAAGAAGAAGAAGAAGAAGAAGAAGAAGACTTAGGAGGAGGAGGAGGCGAGAAGAAGACGAAGGGAGGGAGAGGAGGAGGAGGAGAGAAGGCGAAGGGAGGGGGAGGAGGATAGAGAGGAGGAGGAGGAGGAGGAGGAGGAGGAGGAGGAGGAGACAAGAAGATGAAAGGAGGAGGAGGATGAGGAGGAGGACCTGCCGATTGTGAGTTGCGTTGACGGAAAAAAAAAAAAAAAAAAAAAAGGATGACGAAGGAGGAAGAGGAGGAGGAGAGAAGA